GAAGTGGTAGAGGTAGCAACTTCGAAAGAGGACATTCGAGCCAACAAAATTGGCGTGGCAGAGGACGTGGTCAAAGAGGTGGTCGTTCGAATCATTCCAAATTCGAATGCTACAAGTGTGGGAAGTATGGTTATTGCGCGAAGGATTGCAACTCCTACAAATGTTACAACTGTGACAAAGTGAGACATCTTGCAAAAGACTGTCGAATCGAAAAGAAGATTGAAGAAACAACCAACCTAGCCTTGGAAGCTGAATCAAATGAAGGCTTTCTCCTGATGGCTCAAAACGAAATCAACACCAATGACAGTGTTTGGTATCTTGACTCAGGAGCAAGTAATCACATGTGTGGTTACAAACACCTGTTTAAAGATATGAAGAGAATTGAATATGGTAATGTGTCTTTTGGAGATGCATCGAAAGTGAAGGTCGAAGGAAAGGGCACAATCAGTTACTTGCAGAAGGATGGCTTGATTGGATCAATCGAAGACGTTTACTATGTACCAGATCTCAAGACCAACATATTGAGTCTGGGACAACTTACAGAAAAAAAGGTGCTTCGATACCGATGAAAGATAGAACACTGCATTTGAAGGACAAAGCAGGACATCTGATTGCCAGTGTCGAAATGGAAAGAAATCGAATGTACAAACTGAACCTGAGGAACATTCGAGAGAAATGTCTGAAAATCGAAGTGCAAGACAAAGCGTCACTGTGGCATATGCGCTTTGGTCATCTACATCATACTGGTTTGAGAAGGTTGGCAAAAAGGAACATGGTGCATGGACTACCAGACATGGATTTCGAAGGAAAATTCTGTGAAGAATGTGTGCTCAGCAAACAAACAAGAACCTCATTTCAAAGGAAGGCAGAGTATCAAGCTAAACACATTCTCGAATTGATACATACTGATATATGTGGGCCAATCACTCCAGAATCCTTCAGTGAAAAAAGGTACTTCATTTCCTTCATTGATGAATTCTCAAGAAAAACCTGGGTCTACTTCCTGAAAGAAAAATCTGAAGCATTAGAAGTGTTCAAAAAGTTCAAAGTAATGGTGGAGAAGGCAACAGACAGACACATCAAAGCAATTCGATCTGACAGAGGAGGAGAGTATACTTCAATGGCTTTTGAGAAGTACTGTGAAGAACAGGGCATAAGGATATTCCTAACTGCACCATATTCACCTCAGCAAAATGGTGTGGCTGAAAGGAAGAATCGAACTATTTTTGACATGGTTCGATCAATGCTCAAAAGCAAGAACATGTCGAAAGAACTCTGGGCAGAAGCAGTACAATATGCTGTATATATTCAGAATAGATATCCACATTCAAAGTTAGAAGACAAAACACCACAAGAAGCATGGAGTGGACAGAAGCCAACAGTTTCTCATCTCAAGGTATTTGGTAGTATAGCTTATGCACATGTACTAGATCAACAAAGAACAAAGCTTGAAGACAAAAGTCAGAAGTACATATTCATTGGATATGATGAGAAGACAAAAGGGTACAAGCTCTTCAATCCCATAAGCAAGAAAGTGATCGTGAGCAGAGACGTTCGAATGAACGAAGCAAGCAAGTGGGACTGGAACAATTCGACAGAAGTTGTTGACACAGTCGAAGAAACAACTGTAGCTGTACCAACAAGTATTCCAACAGAACATGAAGAAACAGAAGATGGAGATGAACCTCTACAACCAAAAATGAGAAGTTTGCAAGATTTGTATGATTCAACAAGTGAGGTGCATCTTGTGTGTCTTCTGGCAGATGCTGAAAATATCAGTGTCGAAGAAGCGTTACGAGATAAGAAGTGGAAAAGTGCCATGGACGAAGAAATTAGAGCAATCGAACGCAACAAAACTTGGGAGCTAGTTGAATTATCAAAAGGTAGTAAACCCATTGGTGTAAAGTGGGTATTCAAGAAAAAGATGAATGCTCAAGGAGAAATCGAAAGATTCAAAGCACGGCTGGTTGTGAAGGGATACAAATAGAAAGCAGGAATTGACTATGACGAAGTGTTTGCGCCTGTTGCAAGAATGGAGACAATTCGATTACTCATTTCTCAAGCTGCTCAGTTCAAATGGACAATATTTCAAATGGATGTCAAGACATCATTTTTGAATGGTGTGCTCGAAGAATAAATCTATGTCGAACAACCACTTGGATATATGAGAACTGGAGAAGAGAAGAAGGTGTTGAAACTGAAGAAATCACTGTATGGGCTGAAGCAAGCACCTAGGGCATGGAACACACGTATTGACACATATTTCAAGGAGAATGGATTCGAGCAATGTCCTTATGAACCCGCCCTCTATGTGAAGAAAAATGGAAGTAATTTATTACTTGTTGCTATCTATGTTGATGATCTTATCTTTCTAGGCAGTGATGTTCAGATGATCAAAGACTTCAAAAGCACCATGACAAGCGAATTCGAAATGACAGACTTAGGTCTGATGAGATTCTTTCTTGGTCTGGAGGTTCGACAAGAAGAAGATGGAATTTTCATCTCACAAGAAAAATATGCAAAGGAAATCTTAGAAAAATATAAAATGAAGAATTGCAATCCAACTTCGACGCCAATGGAACCAGGTACAAAACTGTCAAAGTTTGATGGAGGAGAACGGGTCGAAGGAAGCAAATATCGAAGCTTGGTAGGTAGCCTTCGATATCCCACATGCACAAGGCCAGATATTTCACTAAGTGTTGGCATAGTGAGTCGATTCATGGAGGAGCCAGTACACACACACATTGGAAGGCGCTGAAACGAATTCTAAGATACATCTAAGGAACAGTATCACTTGGAATGTTTTATTCAAAGATAGAAGACTACAAGTTAGTTGGTTATTCTGACAGTGACTGGTGTGGAGACATAGACGATCGAAAGAGCACTGCTGGATATGTGTTTTTCATGGGAAACACAGCTTTTACTTGGCTATCGAAGAAGCAACCTATAGTGACACTTTCGACGTGTGAAGCAGAATATGTGGCAGCATCCTGGTGCGTCTGTCATGTAGTATGGCTTAGAAGGTTGATAAGCAAGATGGAGCTGAAACAGGAAGATCCAACAATAATACAAGTGAACAATAAATCAGCTATCGAATTGGCAAAGAATCCAGTGAATCATGAACGAAGCAAACATATAGACGTTCGATTTCACTTCATTCGTGAACATGTGAAGGAGGGAAGCGTCGAATTAAAGCATGTGGCAAGCAGAAACCAAGCAGCGAATATCTTTACAAAACCACTATCAAAAGAAGTCTTCGACAGAGGCAAGAAGATGATAGGAATGCTGGATGGAAGAAGCATTTAAGTTTACAGAGGAGTTTTGTTGAATAAACATCAAATGTGTTAGTAATAAGTTTTACATTAAGTATGGTAGTAGGAAGGGCAAAAGTTTTATAAGTTATGATAATTTATTAGTAGCATTTATGTTTAGAATTGTAAAAGTTGTTTGCGTCTATAAAAGACCAAGTGTGTAATTTATTTAACAAGAGCAATATATAGAAGTTTATACAAAAGTCTGATTCATTCGATTTTATAACAGAGGTCCAATGCTTAATCTTTGACACAATCCGCTCAATCAATGGTCTACAGTGCTGAATAATAATCTTCCTGCTGGACAACAATATTCCCAGATATTTGAAAGGCATGTCCTCCCCTTCAACAAAACCTGTATCCCTCACAATCTGATTTTTGTCAGTGTAATTAACACCCCCAAAGTACATTTTACACTTGGCAGGATGCGCTTTGAGACCAGTCGCAAGGGATAACTCCTTAAAAACATCCATAAGTAAATGCACAGATCCTCTATCACCTCTACAGAATAACATTAGGTCATCCACAAAACTAATACTAGTAATTCTGAGCTTCTCGCATCTTGGGAGGTAATTGAAGTTATGTTGATTTCTCAGTTCATTGAGACATCGCTGCAGATAGTCCATCACCAACATAAACAGTAATGGGGATATGGGACCCCCTGGCGAAGGCCCCCACGGGATTGAATGAAATCAATAATTTGACCATTGATTATAAGTACCTGTAGGACACAGTAGAAACACAGATCATCACCCAATCAACAAAGTAAGCCGAAAAATTGAGAGGGAGTCTCACAATTGGGATACTTCAGGAACCAACTTCTGTTACACAAAGACCTATCTATTCGAGAATAAATAGTATCAGTGGCATGATTGTTATTGAAGGAAAAAACCAAAGTTATTTGAGTTTTTGCAAATTTAAATAATTAAACTAATTAAATAAAATAAACTATGCCAACAAATTCTTGTTCACAATATTCCAACGTTTCAAATACTACCTTGTATTTTATCATTAAATTTTAGTACTATGGTTTGGTCAATTAACTATTTTTCAAATAAAAAATAAATGAAAATAATATCAAAAAGGGGTTTCCGGAATCCAAGTATGAATGAAACTGAAAATTAAATATGAAGAAAAAAAGTGAAATATAAATTATATATACTTCATAAATTTTAGCCAGACTTTCTCTCTCACTTCTATCTTCTTCTTTTCAATTTCTTCTTTTTTAGCCATAAAAGTAGTTGAATTAAGTAACCTAATAAAAAAATAAAATATTTACATGAATTAAACTCCTATAATAGTCCATAATAGTCCATGCAATTGAATTTCTCAAGAAAAAAATCTATATAACAACCGGAATGCAAGAAGATAAGACTTGATCAAAGATTGGGTTTTTTAGACATTAATTGTGCGGTTGGCTATTGGGCATGCAGCATTTCATGCAGAACCGCGTAGTGGAGTTGACATCCACCTATACCATACCATTCCATACCAAATCCACCATTTCTTGTCTTTTCTTCATTCCTCATACAACTTCTTCATTTCAACGTTAATGGAACCTTCTTGTCACTTTCCTCTCTTCTCCATGTCATTGCCTCCTATAAATACCTTCTCCTTCTCTCCTCCCATCCCATTTTTCTCAACTACATCAACAAATATTCATTCAATCATACATCTCTTAGATATTCAATGTCATTTTCAAAATTTACATTTCCAGTCCTTTTAATCTCAACGATTACGATTGCTTCTGCTGCAAGTTTCTATCAAGAATTTGATTTAACATGGGGAGATGGTCGTTCTAGAATACTCGATGATGGAAACCTTCTTACTTTATCTCTTGATAAATCTTCTGGCTCCGGATTTCAATCCAAAAATAAATATCTTTTTGGGAAAATTGATATGCAACTTAAACTTGTACCTGGGAACTCTGCTGGCACCGTCACTGCCTATTATGTTAGTATACATTGATTCGTTGTTAACATTTACATCATATTTATTCTTTTGCTTGGTTCTTAATTTTCTTGCTCGAAAATTCATTCAGCTATCATCTAAAGGACGGAAATGGGATGAAATAGACTTTGAATTCTTGGGAAATTTGAGTGGTGATCCTTATACTCTTCATACCAATGTGTTTAGCCATGGAAAAGGCAATAGAGAGCAACAATTTCATCTCTGGTTTGACCCAACTGCGGATTTTCACACATACTCAATCCTATGGAATCCGCAACACATTGTGTAAGTATTAGCAAATCAAACAAACAAAAAGTAGACTTTTTTATAGTTACTTGTGTTGCAAGCAACTAATTGAGTCTTGTTTTATGTGTGTATTTTTCAGTTTCTCTGTGGATGGAACTCCAATTAGGGAATTCAAGAACATGGAGTTAAAAGGTATTCCATTTCCCAAAAACCAACCAATGAGAATCTACTCTAGTCTCTGGAATGCTGATGATTGGGCAACAAGAGGAGGACTTGTTAAGACAGATTGGTCCAATGCTCCTTTCACTGCTTCATACAGAAATTTCAATGCTAATGCATGCACTGTGTCTTCTGTTGGAACATCATCTTGTAGTGCAACACAATCTAATAAGAATGCTTGGTTCTCAGAGGAATTGGATTCTACAAGTTATCAGAGACTCGAGTGGGTTCAGGAGAATTATATGATCTATAATTACTGCACTGATATCACAAGATTTCCACAGGGTCTTCCTAAAGAATGCAGCATGGTAATAGGGAGTTTAAGAATTTAGTTTACTGCAACACTTTGTATTATGATGTATTGTATTTTCTTCTCTTTTTTTTCTTCTTGATGAGAGGTGGTAATGTATCTATATATGTTTGGTTATGAAAGTTGACTTGTGAGCCAAGTGTATAACTGATTTATTGTCATAAATAAAAGCCATTTTGGGAAGTTTATGAGAAAATCTTGGAGAAGGAAATCAGTATATAGGGTTGAAGGAGTTGTGGGTTCATTAATTACTTCAGATAGTGTTAAGTATGATGCATGGAAATGCTGAGTTCCTCTTCTTGGATGTGTGGCTCCCCGTGTCTTCTCAAAATCTTCCATTATGTTCCATTTACCTTATTCCCAATTCACACTTTTCTTCAGAAATGGTTCCACAATGTTCTTCCTCTTTTGTTAAATCCACTAACACAAAACATTATCATGATGCGCATTTGTTCAATTCTATTGTATTTAGACAAAGTCTATAGTATTGACGAAGTCTATAATCCAAAAAAAAAAAATTATTTAACACTACACTAATCTCAAAATCGAACAAAAATTTTACACCATGATGATCTCGGAAATTAAATAGAATTTTTATCTGATTAATCTCAAGAACCAACAAAGAGTTTTTTATAGGCTGAACTCGAAATCAAATAAAGATTTTACTTGATTAGTCTCAAGAACCAAACAAGAATTTAATTGGTTAAGCTATGAACCACATAAAAAACTTCTTCAAAAGATTTTACACAAGAGACAACACCTTCTTGAGTAAATAACATATATAGCACAACACCGGCCCACAATAATTTTAATAAATGCATTTCACTCTCAAAGCACTAAAGAAGACCTTGTAAATAATTCGAAAAAGATGAGGTAAGATAGAATAAAAGTGAGAAATAATATTTATAAATTTAATTTCTATGGTGTATATAGAAATGATGAGAAACCCTCTATTTATAGGAGAAAAATGCGGCTCAAAAAGAAAACATATCCATGAGCCCTTTTAATGAATTAATCGATTAAGTACTAGAGTAATCGAATATGAGCTTCAAAAAGACGACAACTTTAATTTCAAAATGGAAACCATACCATTTTTATTTGACGTAATAAATTGTGGGTATTTATAATAAATTAGGGTGTATTTTGCATTGCATAATCGATTGGACTAAATCCCTAATCAGTTATGAAGTGTACAAATGCTTTCTAAATAAATAAGAATATTCTTGGTCATTTCCACATGTACCTTGATAGTTGTTTCATAGGTCTTTAAGGTATTTTAGAAGATTCAGAGGTTTAAAATAATTTTAGGTGAGTGTGTGAGTTTCCTTAGTAATTCGAGAATTACTCTTATACATTTTCGTTTAACCAATCACTCAGACACAAGATCAGACAAGATTTCACACTTCCTCTCTTGACATAACTTTGAAGCTTCAAGATCCATTGATTGATTCATTATTAATTAAACACTTCATATGGGATTTAATTATTCTAACTTATGAGACTTTATATAGCTTCTCGATAAACACCATCAATAGGGTTTATTGAATAGGATATCATCAAAGACATCACCAAACCTTGTTTGATTTTAGGTGTTGTCATCAACGAATTTGACTTGATATCTCAATCTCTCAAAGAGCGTCTAAAAATTATTGCCATAATTTCTCCGATCGAGTATGGTTGATTCTAGGCTAAGGACCCATTGAAATGTCTAGTCTTATGCGTGTCCTGGAAAGCTCCTAATTTTTTTTTAATTTAAATTTATGACTTTTATTGTTGCCTCATTGAACCCTGCCAAGTACATTATTCTGAAAAGGATTCATTATGACTTTAAGGGTATATTTAACATGCTTGTAATAAATACCTTTTGATGTTTGATTGTAAAGAATTGATGAATTAGATTCCTTAAGAGGTCTTGATGACTTATTATTGAGAATTCAGGGAGATTCATATGCCAACACAAGGCTGAATCCTTTAAGGTTCTAGAAAGAAGTTTTCATTTGAGGGAATTCTCCTCTCCAAATTATTCTATCAGAGTGTTGATGACACTAATATGCTCTTAAGGGACACGCTTGCTATCTATTGTCATCACATAAGAGCAAGTGTTTTATCGTCTCCACGTGCAATGGTTGTGTTTTAAAGATCATTTAATAGTTTATATTATTTTAAGAATGTTTTTCAAAGGTTGTTTATTTGTGTAATTGAAGTAATAGAAAATAAAATGACATAGTGTAAATTGAATTTTGGTGTTAGCAATTGAGAAAACTTGTTAGGGTTAGATTTCATCGACACATCCTCGTGTATTATCATTGATCAATAATATGGAATTATAATAAGCCATTAATATTACGACCCATCGCTCTACATCATAGCTCATGTCTGGATCGATCGTATTGCTTAATAAATAATTTTTCAGTCTATTAACTAATATGATAACATTAAGTTTAGATTATTCATATAGATACTATACCTACATCTATCTCTAAAGTTTATCATATCTAATAGACGAAAAGCTTGAATCTATAATGACAAGTACCTTTTGAAGATTGATTTAAACCATGAAAACATGCCATAGGTTAATAATCTAATACAAACATTAAGTAAGAAGAATTCATCAATATTAAAGAATAATAAGAATTGAATAGGAATCCATGATTGTGATTAATACATGAGTATAAGTATGACTACATATAACCCCAACTAAATTGAAATTAGCTACGCTTACTCATCGTAGATTTACAAATAAGACCTATAAGAAAAATATTGAAAAGTATTTGTGACGATTCCTCGGACATTGCTTCTCCATCAATCTTTCTCACTTTTCCTCTCATATTGTGGTTTTTCTATACGATTGAATTCTATAAATCTCTACCAGTAATACTACTAAATTTCCACCAATTTCTCCCTCAATAAACTGACTGACACTCTTATTTATAAGGTTCTAATTCATCGTTCTTATTTAGATGAGAACAGATCCATTGGAGGGTAAAGTTAGAATTTTATAATCCACAGCTTGCATGAAGACATTGAGTGATACAATAGTAGAGTGGTGGTAGCAACATAGTGGAAAGTGAAGATGGAACATATTGAAAAAGTTGGTAGTGACAACATTACCTTAGTCTTCTTTTACAAGGTAGTGGAAATGATATTGATTTGTACTATTTTAATATTTTCATACTATCTCGCTTCATAGTAATATGCTTGAGTCAGAGGCTTCTGTTAGAATATGGTGAACCTTGAACAGAGTCTAGAGTTACTATCTTTTTATTCACTTCTAACTACTTGAGCCAGAGGCTTCTAATGGAGCGTGGTGAAGCTTGATCAAAGTGAGTCTTCAATGCTTTGAAAAATGTCGAGTCTTCAGATTCTTGAGTTATCATAGTCGACCTGGATAATCTTCTTTCAATAGATGACTTGATACTTGTAGACACAAATTTGTCGTTGTAAACACTTCTTTGAATTTCTTCATCAGTTAATAGTGTTTTTGATTGTCCAGAGTTGCTTATTTAGAGACCAAAACTTCACTTGTCAAAATTCCACAACATACAAGCTCAGAGTCCATAACTTATAATAAAATATGCACACTTTAACAAATCGTTAAAGTACAAAATTATTCTCCATACAAGTGTACTTATTATCATCAAAACTCCAATGATTAGTTGACAAATCAAACTTGTTCCAACACACCCAATCTTGCTTAGCAAGCAAACCCTTCCTTGCCCATGAAGAAAATTAACCTTGAAATCATGTACTGCCATACCTCACTCACCAAATTTGATACTGCACTAAGCAAGTTATGTTAGTTAGTCTTGAGTTTACTTGGCTATGAACTTTTTTTTGTCGCCTTTGTTCGCTTAGAGGGACCCAGTTTAGGCTTAACGGGCTTTTGTGCTTTTTGACTGATTTTTATATTTTCCTTATTCCTTTTACGTGTACTTAATGAATACACAATTAAAATTTTTATACAAGTGTTTTACCATAATTTACGGATAAATTGAGAGTTTTTCATTGATTTCTTGCAAAACAAGTTAATAAATGCTTATATATTTTACATATCTTTTGCACTTATCACTATTGAAAATTATTAGGGAATGATCTTGAAGTTATCACGGACAAGTGTGTCATAGATTTTGACAAATAAAAGTTGGACCTAGGGACTCCTCATGTTCATTAATATCGACTCTTGTCATTGATATTGTTATTGTTGCTGGTTATAAAATTTGTCTTACATAGTTTCAATTTCATGATGCAATTCCTCCAAAACGGCTAGCATCTCTAATGGAATTCTGGTAGTTATTGTTGCTATATGTGGTAGCCCTTACAATTGTGGGGTGGAATTTATAGTGAAAGTATTATGTGCATGAGTTTGGTTCAGGTTAATTTTATTGGGACCTACCGTGAATGTCAAATGTGTTAAATTACAATCCAGTGTGTCGAAACTATGTGTCGAAAAGATTTGTTTTGTTTTAGATTTAAATAGATTTGATTTAAGTCTAGAATAAATTAGATTTGATTTAGTAACAAAAATATATTTTGGGCTTTGGGCTTAGGGTGTAAGCTCAGTTATAAATAGAGGGAGTAACCTCTATTTTTGTAAGCAAGTCAAGCAAGTCATTCACAGTATTTTGCAGTTGCAATGTGAATAATAAAGTTTTCACAGTTTGTGAGCAGAGAGAAACTCTGCTGAAATTATTTGTCTTGTCTTCTTTTCTTTGTTTGTCGAATAATTAAATTGTCATTGTGGTAGAAATTCATCATAGATTTTGGTGAGTTTCCAACATCTGGTATCAAGAGATTTTGTTCCGATTCAAGGGAAGTGTCAATCAAGAATGATTGAAGAATTACGATGACAAGTTATGGGAATTCAAACTATCCAGCAACGCTACCAATTCTGAAAGTTGACAACGATGAGAATTGGTGCAAACAGATGAAAGTCTTATTCAGGTGTCAAGGTCTTTGGGACCTTGTAAAAGATGGAGTCGAAGCACTTGTAGAAAACGATTCATAAGAAGAAAAGAAGAAATA